CTGCATCTGGAGAATTTTGGGAGGTGGTATCATGGTTCAAACGATTGATGCATCACCATACTGGGAGATCGGGGTTGTTTGTTTGATTCTCCTTCGGAACCAGGCATGGAACATTCGAAGATTCGAAATTAGGTAATGTGAAGAAACAGCACATGAAGACCCAGCATCGAACCTTTCGGAAATATTGCTTGGGAATGATTTCAGCTCGAAACCTGACAAATCACCTGAGATTTCACTGGGCTTGGGAGCAGACCGTTTGAGGAGCTGGCTCTTAGCTTGCTCCACTGTGGAGCGGGAAAGTGAACTCCGGCAATGCAGGCAGTTGCCCTCAGGAACCGTCTCCTGAAGCAGGGTTCGTTCTTCACGCCACCGTTAGAGACTGACACCACTGGTGGAGGTGCGGATATCATCCCCTGGCCCTGGGGGACCCTACCATCATAAGCCCCTACTATAAAGCTTCGCGAAAAACCCGGTCTTCCACTACTCTCATCACACACACTCTCTCACTCTCATTCACTCTTTCCTTTCTGTTGATCAGATCAGACCTTCAGTCATTCTTTCTTTCACTCCGATTTCTGTTGACCAGAATAAAAAAACTAATCCACCATGCGTTTCGATCTCCTCACCCTGGCCGCTCTCGGCTCCCTCGCCGTTGCGGCCCCTGCCCCCCACGATGTTGCTGAGAGAGATCTCGTCGAGAGATCCTCCTGCACCTTCACCGATGCTGCCTCCGCCAAGGCCGGTGTCAAGAAGTGCTCCAGCTCGATCCTGAAGAACATCAAGGTCCCCGCCGGCCAGACCCTTGATCTGTCCGGTGCCAAGAAGGGCTCCACCGTATGTTTTCTTGGACACTATTCGACACCCCCTTTACTAATTATCTGAAAGGTCACCTTCGAGGGCACCACCACCTTCGACTACAAGGAGTGGAAGGGCCCCCTCATCCGCCTCGGCGGCGAGGGCGTCACTTTCACCGCTGCCTCGGGCGCCGTGATCGACGCCCAGGGTGAGCGCTGGTGGGACGGCAAGGGCACGAACGGCGGCAAGACCAAGCCCAAGTTCATGTACGCGCACAAGCTGCAGAGCTCGTACGTCAAGAACCTGCACATCAAGAACACGCCGGTGCAGGCGATCTCGGTGCAGGGCAACGACGTGCACATCGAGGGCGTGACCATCGACAACTCGGCCGGCGACAGCAAGGGCGGCCACAACACCGACGCCTTCGACATCAGCGAGTCCAACGGCGTCTACATCAGCGGCGCCAAGGTCTACAACCAGGACGACTGCCTGGCCATCAACTCCGGCGAGGTGGGCCCCCCCTTCGTTCATTCTTTGGAAAAAAAAAAAACTAACGACACCAGAACATCTACTTCGACAGCGGCTACTGCTCCGGCGGCCACGGCCTGTCGATCGGTTCCGTCGGCGGCCGCGACAACAACGTCGTCAAGGGCGTGCACATCACCAACAGCCACGTCGTCAACTCCGACAACGGCGTCCGCATCAAGACCGTCTACAAGAAGACCGGCTCCGTCACCGATATTACGTATGACAACATCCAGCTCGAGAACATCGCCAAGTACGGCATCGTTATCGAGCAGGACTACGAGAACGGTTCTCCTACCGGCACCCCCTCCAACAGCATCCCCATCAAGGACGTCACCATCAACAAGGTCACCGGCTCCGTCAAGAGCTCCGCCCAGCCTGTCTACATCCTGTGCGGTTCCGGCTCCTGCGCTGACTGGACCTGGAAGGGCGTTGATATCTCCGGTGGTAAGGACAAGAAGTCTTGCAAGAACGTCCCCAGCGGCGCTTCTTGCTAGATGCTTACCATGGTTGATGGCTGTGGTTTTTGTGCCGGTGCGAGTGATGGGGCTTAGGGGGGCAAGGTGTATTCTGCTTTGGAGTGTGTATTAGTAGTTGAATCTTTATTCTATAAACCTAGAAAATAATTAGAAGGTCTGGTGTGATACATTTTCTCGTGAGTAAGATCAAACTGTCTTTCCCATTAGTGTAGAGAAGCGGATTGGGACAATCCAAATTATTGGCGATTGCTATTGGTATACTAAACATTGTCCACCTCTGACGGAGCGGTGCACCAGCCTGCCCGGGCAATACTATCTCGAGACCTACATGAGTAATCTTCTAAGCGTGCCACTCAACCAGCTCACAACCACATTCCCATGTCCCCCTCCAACTCAGCTTGCATAGAAATCCCAAGTACCAACCAGAGCAACAGCACCAAGAAAACCAACAACCGCATCCATGAGAGGGCCGCGGGGGGGGGGGGAAAGGGTCCCGTATGCTTGCCCGTTCTCAACCGATAAGAAAGAGGTGAATTTATACCTCCTCACCTCCATCCCAGGGACGTCGCCTGGCTAAAGCGAAGCTATCCCCCAAATAACAAGCCCAATATCACCCGGTGGCCTCGTATTTCGTTCAACCCATCACATCACCCACACTCCACACGATCATTGGTACTGTACAGCGCGCAGCTTCCTCTGGTTGGCTCCTCAAAGTTCACGGGCCGTACCTACTGTCTCCCACCGGTGGCATCCAAACCTTGCCCTGGTAGGATTAGATCCGTGGTGTGGCAGGTACACCTTTCTCTGCATTGGGTTAGATAGCTCGTGATTGCGGGAGTGGATGAGTCGGACGAAGGGTTTGGCGGGGTGAGGTTAGTGGAGCGCCAAGGGAGGCCAAGGGAGGCCAAGCGGACGGTGGCTTGGCGCGGTGCAGGGGTCCATTCCGCTATTCCCTTTCGGAAGAGGGTGGACATTTTGGGAAAGTGGTTTGTTTCGGGGAGATTTCAGGGGTCACGCCCGGCAGGCACAGGTGCCGAGGGGGGTTATTATTGGTGGTTAGGTAGTAGTGCTGGGTTCAGTGCCGGTTGCATAAATGGGTAGATGTGATAGTTCACTGATAGGCCGATGGTGTGCGGGTGCGAATGAATCATGAGGTCATCGGCAAGTTAGTAGATAAGCGGTTGACTAGTACGAGCTTATAGACACATCTCTTCTTGTTTGGTTCTAGTTTCAGTAGACAAACTACCCCCATGCTCACAAGCACCCATTTCTCCTTCTCTCAAATATCCGCTACAACATTTCCGACCACCTTTCACCTTCCACTCCCTAGCCTGAAGATACGAAGAGCTAACCCCGCCACCCAGAATGCAAATCCCTCTTCTTCCCCGACCCGACCGCTACCTCCGACGGTGTAATCAACCCCGTCGCATTCCTTATCATCTCCGCCACCGCATTCACCTCCTCCACACCCACCGCCTCTCCGCGGGTGTGCCACCCCAACTCAACCGGCAACCGTTCATGCTCTAGCCAGTGCAGTACCCTGTTAGCACCACTAATATAAACCCCCCGAACCCAAAATGCGAGTAACATACCAAAGAAATACTCCACCAGCGAGCGATTCACCCGACCCGTCCCCATATCCCCGAAAGCGATAATGGGAGCCGCCACCTCGCCCAAACTGAACTCCTGGGTTCGGGCCGTGAACGTGTACGTCGGGTTGAACGCCTTGGACTCGACCTGCCGCGCCAGCTTGCCGTTGGCCAGCATGGCGGCGTCGAGGGTGGGGCCCGTCCAGTACTTCCGGGTTTGGGCGAAGATGCTCGCGTTGAAGATGTGGTTGTTGCCGAAGTAGGCGTCGCTTCGACTGGTAACTTGTCAATGGAATGGAAGGTTGACTTGGGGGTGTAGGGAGGGGGCCATGCTGACCTGAGACTTGCGTCGTGTTCGAGGATGTTGTGCTGGTTGAGTTGGTCGCTTTTTGGCAGCGCAATGTTAGTGGAGGTGGTACGGAGCTTATGGGTGGCTTACAGGGTGAAGTAGCTCGCGTTCGGCTCCGGGTTCACGACAATGGCCATCTCGAACATGAGCGTGGCGAGCGAGGAGGTGAAGTTCAACGCGGCGCCTAGGGCCTCGATCAGGCGGGGGCGCGTGATGTTGCGGCCGTCGTGCGGCAGGAGGTGGTGGTTTGCGAGCGTGTTCATCATTGGGCAGGGGCCGCGGTCTGTTTGCCGTTTTGGGTGTTGTCAGTTGGATGCCAGTGGTTAGCTGGTGGCTGGGTTGGGGAGCGGCGTACAGTCGTCTGCTCCGGCTGGTTGCCAGTGGGAGATGTCTGCCGCCCCGTAGTGGGGGTGGGCGCTGGCGAGGCCTAGCAGGAGGGTGATGGGAAGGGCGAGCTTCATGGTGAGTGACTGTTTCATTGCAGTGTTGATGGATTGTCCAGGAGGACATATAGCAAGAGGCAGAGGGAGAGCAGGGTATTTATCTGCGCTGGCTCTGTGCATACAGCAATTGTTTCAGCCTGGAGCTTACCATTCGCAATGATGCGGTCACTGGTCAGTACATACCATTCGGATCATGAAAGAGTATCCCAAACAAGGCAACAAATTGGATGCGCCAATAGTGTTGGGCCTGTTACAATGCAGTTGCATGGTTGTCGCGAATGAGCTGATGGCGGTAAGCGATGCTCAAAACGGTGTAGAGTACGAGTACGAGTACGCTGTTGCGGATCGGCACTGGTGGGGCGGGGAACTTTGTTTGCCAGGGTAATCAGGAAATGCTGAGATCTTATAGGTGCAGATGTAGGTTGATGCCTGGATATGCAATGCGTTGCTGAAACACAGTATTCTCTTGAGGGTGCCTGGAGGCAGTGCTGGCTATCTAGTTGGGTAGTCGGATGCAGACGGAACGAGCCCTAGACGTATTCCAGCCAGCCGTGACACTGCTGTTGACGACATTGATTACAAAGCTCGAAAGAAGGGTTTGGCTCAGTGAGATAAGTCGCCCAGACAATTTGCCGCAGCAGAATAGTTACGTATAAAGACGAATATAAAATTGATGAAAAAACGGTATTTATTGTAATTAGAACTCGGATATGGGACGTGGGGGAGTAGGCCCACCTGAGCGGAACCATCCACCCCTGCCCGTGGGCGCAGTGAACAGCCTAGCTATCACGGCCTCATGCAATGACTGCCAACGGCGACACTACACAACCGAAGACGTGCCCCCAAACCGCACCTCCAACGCCAGCGCCGCCATCGTCGCACAGGGGAAATCATCCAGCCTCAACGGGCAACCCCGCGGCAGCCGCACCAACCAGCAATACAGGGTCTCGATGTCCAGCACGCAGTCCAGCGAGGGCTCTCCGTCGAACTCGTACCGATACACCGCTCGGCCAGTGCCTGTCTCCCCCGGGGCCAGCTCGCGATAGCACCGCACATGCTCGAAGGCGCGAATGATCCCGTGGAAGAGCGGCGCCTGCGGCCGCATCTCCCGCAGCTTCTGGAAGACGGCCCGCAGGCGGTTCTCCAGGATCTCCCAGTCGAAGGTCTGGGTGGCCAGTTCGCGGGTCTCCGGGGCGACAATCACCACCTGTTGGGTGGGGGTGATGGTGCTTAGTTCGAAGGTGTAGGTTTCTTGCATTTTGGTGGTGGGCGGGGTTGGGGTAGATTGGGTATGGGAGGGGGAGGGGGTTGGGGTTGAAGTCATTGTTGAGTGGATTGGAGTCGGGCTTATATAGTGCGTTGCTTGGTGATGGACTCGGCGATGGTGACATTCATGTTTGTTTGGCTTTTTGTGGAGACTTACGGTATAGTGGAAGTAGGGCTTTGTGTGTTGACAATTCATTGATTCGGTCTTTGTTGTAGGGCCACGATTCCCAAAAGACTCTTCGGTTCACTTGGAATTTGAGGGCGTGGGGGACAAAGAAATTAGTCTCGAGTTATTTCTGTAGCCTTACACTGGTCGTGCTTGTCTGCGTAGGTTTTATCCGATATTTAATTCCACTCGACAGTATCAGCACCGCTGGAGAGGAGGGAGGGGGAGATCAGCTCGAGACATATAAAAGCAATTAGAAAGGAACATACACCAGCACACACCCAGCCTTCCACACCAAAAGATCCAATACTCTACCATAGAACAAAGACATTTAACGAATCAAATAATGTAATATTTTTGATCTTACATGCTATACCCCATACCCAAGAAGAAAACAAGGAGAGAACCTACCCCCTCTTCTTGCTCTCCATATAATCCATAACCCACCCATTCCGCACCGCAAGCTGCGCACACGCCAACAGAAACCGCAAAATCTCGTCCGCCCACTCCTCCTCAAACGACGGATTCACCTGCAGCGTGCTCATCCACGCCGCCGTCGCCTCCGTCGACTCGGTGTCGAACACCGTGTAGCCCCGATGATGGAACTGCATGATGCACGACTCGCTCCCGGGGATCGCCGGGGGCACCTCCATGAAGAACCGGATCAGGCCCTCGCAGTAGATCGACCCGCCAAAGGGGGCCGCGTGCGGCCGCAGTTCCCGCTGCTCCCGGATGCAATCCAGCAGGTCCTGCACCGCGTCCTCCCACTGCCAGAACGGGCCCGGCCGGGGGAAGATCAGGTTCACCGTCTCCGTCCGCGGGGCGATCGGGTGCAGCAGCACCTCGAAGGAGGGGTACCTGAAGTCGTCGAGCGTGTAGTTCGTCGGTCCCGGGGAGAGTTCGCCTTCTTCTTTTGGGGCGGCGTTCTCTTTGTTGGCTTCGTTGTCGTTGGCGGTGGGTTCTGGTGCGGTTGGAGGGGGTGGTGGCGGCGATGGGGGTGGCGGTCGTCGGGTCGGGCTTGGAGAGCGACTTGGCGGTGATCTCTTGGCGACGGGCATCGTTGTCCTGGTGGGGTTTCTTTTGAGAGGTTTGGGACAATGGGATGGGTGGGGGATGGGAGGAAGAGGGGGAGGGGCCTTTGTGTTGCCAGGGCTGGTCTTATATACACTGTTGTTGGCTTTATCTGGGGTGACGATCGTCGGTTGATGGGATTTGTGGCGGAGACTTTCGGTAATGTGGTCGACGTTTGAATGTTCGGTGCTGGGGATTCCAGATATGTCTTTATGGAGATACGATAATCTTAAGTACGTGCCCCGGTTCGTTTGTTCGACAGTGTGCATCCGAATGTATTTACCGATAGCTGTGATGCGTTCGACTGCAAGTAGACTTAGTGGTTAGTCCTTGATCCGTGCTTCAGTGACAATGTACTCAGACAGAATAGTCTAACTTTGTGTCTCAATAGGTGCTTAGTCTTCTCTGAGCATGTTCTCAAGGTCTGTCGTGAGCGTATAATTGACGATTCGCGGGCGTAAATTGACAGACGCTGTATAATGCCTTAACAGTGGAGCAACAGCCCTAAGGCAACGAGGCATATCGCGCCCGGACAGCAAGGTCGTAGAACAACACGACCGACGACGAGAGTAGCTGCTACTCACTTTCGAACGAGGGAACCTAAGATTAAGTAGCTAGACACGATGAAAATTCGAATATGTAATCTTGATCAAAAATGAGTATTATGCTCCAAGTTTATATGGCACCAAAAAGAAAGGGCTAGGCGTAACGTACCCTACGCAACGATGCCCGAAGTATATATCCTCCACCAAGTTCAATTCGCGATACGCTAGATTTACGTCAGGTTGTACCCAAAATACCATCGTTGTCCAATGACCTCACGCCAGTATGCCACAAAGCCTCATACTCAAGTTCCCAAAGACCTAACCTCTAGACCTAAGCCCCTCGACCCGGAGACTCTCCGTCTCCGAATCCTTGAAGAACAATGGCTCGTTGCTCGCTTGACTGGTGATTTTCCCACTCATCCGTGGGTCGGCATCCAGGTGATCTATGTCTAATGACTCCTGCAGCTCGATGCTCGTCGCAGACCGAATCTTGGAGCCCCCACGTCGGGCTGGGTAGGGGTTGTCGGGATAGATCGGGGTCTCTGGCTTTCTTGCACGGCGTAGACTGTATAGCGTGGGAAAGTTGGCAACGATAACCGAGGCAATAAACTCGACGGCGGTCCAGTAGCCTTGTCCGACGAGGTCTTGGGTGTCGCCGTGGATGGGGGCGCGGAGGATGGTTGCGATGATGCAGAGGAAGCCAACCGAGAAAAGGGCGATGAGTTGAAGGCGACTAGATCGATTAGATGAGAGTCTCAAGGAAGGCTTAGGGAGGGATGAGGATCTACCGATGCCAGGGTCTTTTCACCCGAACCAGCCATGGAAGAGGGAGCACAATGAGCATCAGGTCTGTAAGGCCATTGAGCAGGATATAGGCGACGAGGTTTCCGACACGTCCGAGGCAAGGCTCTGATACAACACACTTAGTAACCTCGACATCCGAATCAAAAGCAGGAATCATACTCTTCTTGCGGTAATCACAGACCATGAACATCTCAAGCTCCACACCCCCAAAACTCAGTAGTAGTACTGCCCAGCTGATGCGAACGAAGATGAAGGGCCACGCGAGACCCTCAAGGACGCGCGAGATAAACAGGAGAACAACGGCCTTCTGGCCCCAAAGACTAGAACTGTCAGCAATCGCCCTGTCAGCCACTTCGTAGGAACCCTACTAGGCACGAAATATAGCTTGATGCGCCACCAGCATTTTGTTCTTCAGCAACTGCTCTTCGAGCAACTTATCTGTGAAATGTTGGGCTTGGAGGCGTGCGTCCCGAGTCAAGGTGATGACGCTTATCGCAGTGAGCAAACTCACGCAGGCAAGAAGCGTCACCAAACAGAAAACGGTGCAGTAGTCGGCCGCTTCAAACCGCTGGTGCCGATACTTGCGCAGAAACAGTCTCAGGATCATGATGAGAGCGCCCAGTACACCAAAAAGGTCCATCAAGACAAGGGACGTTATCGGACGCGAGGATGCAGCCATTGTGAGATTTGACCAGATGCTGAATGGCTACACCAAAGCAGGGACGATGCAGACCCATGGTTTGGTTTTATTGTTGGGTTGGTTGCAGTCGGGACCTTTTTTCAACAAAGAAAGTAAATGTGGTCAGGGCGGAAGAGACCCGGAAAGTATAAATTGCACGAACCGAGCTAAGGCCAAGTGAACAAAGAAGACCAGTCGTGGTCGGTTGTCACAATCGACGAGTCAACAAAATTCAGGTTCTGGACCAGCTATGGCCACGACTCGGGGTGAATGATTTGTTCCTTCAGTAGACATCAACATGCCACATTGATCAATTGGAGACATTCACAATGGCATCGCGCGAGTTCAGCGATCTGTTGCGACCGAATATGGCGGCATATAGACCGTGCCTGCGCTCTGACCGTCAGGTACTAATGAGGATTTGCGCGAAATCAAGGACAACCCCGGTCGGTACCTTTTGATCGACAGTCAGATTTCGATCACCTGATAATGCACGGATAGGCCCACCAGATTGTACTCACCAAAGTCCCCTGGCACTGCTCCGCATGTTCCCTCGGTCCAGGTGCTATAGCACATCTCACGTATCGCGAGGCATATCATCTGTGCGCATCACAAGATGGGAAATGTCTGCCGAGAGAACGATGAGAAGATTCGTGGGAAAAATAAGGTCCACTGGTGGTCGACAGAGTGCCAATGCCCGGGTATGATCTGGACGAAATGGTGACCTCGAACGGATGGTGCAGATGGTGCAGATGGAAGGAGGACGGAGGAGTGTCTACAACTCAGTATCCCAGCCACGTGACCCAACATAGCAGCTACTCTTTCCAGTGCGACCCGCACACACTTGTACGGAACAACACCACATTTCTGATTCCCACTATGCAAGGCTTTCTCGGAACCATCTTTCTGTCTATGCATGCGGCAAGCCTTTATTTCTCTTCATCCAGTCCTTGAATTGTCCCTGACGATCAGTCCATATTATGGCGAGTCGATCCTTAATCTCGCACGACAACAAGAACCAGCACTCTCGGCGGGAATGTCTGAACAACGTCCATGCCTGCAAAGTAAGAGAGCTCTCTCGATCAAGATAAGTGCTTTCGAGTTGACTTCTATTGCAAAGACAATGTGCTAGTCGAATGATCTAACACGATAGGGATCAGGACTTGTTACAATCGTTGCGCTCACCTTCGAAACATAAGGCCACAAGAATCCCGCATAATCAGGCCAAATCCATTACCGCCGTGTCCACGGGGCTATTCCCTCGCCTTCGAACAATTTTGGTTTATCTCGAGGGGGCTGTGACTTACAAAAATACATTCGCTCCAAGCTGCGGGCTAGAACTACTCCTGCAGGTCTATGGCAAGCCCATCGTTGACCGGATCTTTTATGCTCTCCATCAGCATAAGTCAAACAATGCAAGAATGATCGGTGCGTTCATGATACTCCCATCAAGTATACCAGATCCCTTAGCTTATTGTTTCAAAGTTTATCAGCTCGAGAACGAACTGCACGATAGTGTGGATACAACGCAATGGCAAGATGATTTCGCCCCAACCCTCATGTGCTTCTCGTATGGATATATCCCCCGGGCGTAAGCCAACCTCTTGGCATACACACCAGCTGCTACACTGCACCTATGCATCGGCATGCTGTTCGGGAGCTGGCTGCTTTCTAATCACGTGAAGGTGACCGGTACACTCGACGCGGTCAGATTTCTACCAAGCATCATTCCTTGAACCTGATCGGAAGCTGCACTTCCACATCTTCCCCTCACAAAACAATGACATTGAGTTCCATTGTGGATCAACTGTCAGACCAATTGGTGGACGATAATTGGCTGCGTCGTCTGGATTTCGTTGCCCCACTTGTTAGACCCGATCTCGAATCCTTCGCGGTATGGAACTCCCATCACCAACTACGAAGCCAACCCAGAGTGATAGAACATGGAGTCTGTGTTTGCTAAAATAACCATAGAACAATCAGTAGTTGCAGCGTTTGCGCTGATAGTAAAAGGTATGTTGCATCTTTGCAGTCCGATCGGGTGGCATCGCTATCGATACAAATTCTGTACCCTGAAGTTAGCTTCGATCTAACCATGACTAACTACAGTCGTCTCCGTTAGGCAAGCAATGGCGCAGTTCCAGCATAATATTAAATTACTCATGTATTGCATTGATTGGCTACCCGCCCATACCCCCTGCATGCACTTATTTGGCCTCTTTCTGGGACAACCTTGGCTCTCAGCTTTAAAAAGCACACGATGTCCCTCAATCTTCTGACAACTATCGACCGGCGAATCAACACACCGAGACCAAAAACATCATGATCAACCCACGTAAGAAAGCTTTAACGAAACGATCTCGTACGGGTTGTCGCACTTGTCGGTAATTCATGATTTCCTGTATCACGCCGTGCATGTCAGCTGTGACTAAGACTGGAACTGTACAGTGCTCGTCGCGTCAAGTGCGATGAAACACCTATCGCCTGCAACAACTGCACCAGTTCTGGTAGAGCTTGCGACGGATACGATGTACACAGACTTATTCCTGGGGGTGGCCGACGTAAGACTGGAAATCTTGTTCCAGTTTTCACCATTCCCGCCGACATGAACCGCAAGCTGCAGTGGACGGCTACCTCAGACGAGCGCCGATGCCTGTCTTTCTTTCAACATAGATCGGTAGAGCACTTGGTTGGCTTTTATGATTCACCTCTGTGGCAGCAGGTGATCTTCCGCCTCTGCTACCAAGAGCCCGCCATCTATCACGCGGTAATTGCTCTGGGGGCTGTCAACCAGGCCAACGAGATCGCAGGCTGTATTCCCCGCGCTGGACAGAGTACTGTGCATTTGCAGAATACATGGTACCAGTTTGCGCTTGAACAGTCTGGACGTGCGATCACACTGTTGAACAAAAGACGCATGTCACAAGATCCCCAGCTGCAGGAGGTTATCCTTGTCTGCTGTCTACTCTTCGTGATCTGCGAGCTACTCCATGGGAATCGCAATCATGCTAATTTTCACATCCAAGGGGGACTGCAGATTCTACACGTGATGAAGATCCAGCGGCAAACTACGGGGCTGGAGCTTAGCCAAGAGACCGTCTTCGGTGGGCCATCCGGCCCCAGGTTCTCGGTGGAAAACTGCGTGGTGGAGATGTTTCTGAAGCTTCAGGAATCGTCCGTTTTTTATGGCACCGAGAACCCGTTGGACTTTGACAGCCACTTCGTATTTGGACAACCGTACGAAAGGTACATGCAACATTTTCAAAGTCTGGGACATGCAAAACAGGTATTGAAGCCTTTGACCCAGGCTAACTTCCTCTTTACCGCGCTTTATCTCAAGGCATCGGATAACTACATTCGAGAAGACTACGCATCCCTACAGCACCGCCAACTCCTGTTGCTCTCATATTTTCACCGATTTCTCTGCCAATTCGAGATATTTTGTGCACAGGAATATCCAGACAGCGCAGATGGCACATCTCAACTCAACAAAGGACAACGCGAAGCGGAGTTGATCAAGCTCAGTTGCCGACAGGGCATCCTCGCCTCGAAGGTGGCTCTCTACTACAAAAGTGAATTGTGGCCCGAGAGCCTGACTCACGAATGCGAAGCCCTGATCATCGCATCTGAAAACGCAATGGCCAAATTTGGCGGCGAGTATCCGGCCGTCACAGCTGACCTGGCAATAATGCCAGCGTTGATCATCAGCATCTTCCGATGTCCGGACTACGGCGTCCGCGCGCGGGGGGTTGCGGCCATTCGCTCCTGGCGGTCGGAGGAAGGGTTCATGAGCGCCACCCTGACATCTGACATTATGGAAGAAGGGATGAAGAAGGAGTTGCAGTCGATTTATGATAAGGCGGAGCCATGGCCCCGAGGAGTGGTATTTGTGGAGGACGACGGTCTGGTGACGGCGCGGGTGTCGTATTGGGTGGATGCTGAGGAGAAGCGACACTGTCTACCCCTAAGGCGGAATGAGATCTTGATTGCTGATTTGACTGCGATCGAGAATGCCAAGCACTGGCCGTGTGTTCGCATGTGGGGATTGCTCGATGATGTGAATTTGTGACGCGATAAATTATTATCTGGATCACCACAAAACTCAAGTACAACATCCGTGGAGTACCGTCGAAAGCGGTTCTTTGGTTTTGAAAATGTATATTATAACTCTCATATGCCCTTTCTGGGGTATCTTTTCCTATTTTATGTTTTTTTTTTTTAAATAAGGAGGTCTACTGTCTGTGATGTGAGTTCATCAACCAGCCCCGGACAAAGCGAAGCAGAGCTAACGATCCCAGGAAGAGTAATCAGGCATCCAGCGCCACCGAATATTAGCATTCAGCCCGGGCTGCAACCCGATGCGTTCCTCCCACATCTTCATCCTCGGCCGAACCTCTTCCTCCTCCTCGGCCCCGTCCCCATTTCTCGGAATCAGGCTCTCCCAATACCGCAAGATTGCCTGGTCCTCGATAGGATGCCATTCGCGCACTCCCTGCAGCCAGAACTGATCCACCACGCGCAGCCCTGCGCGATGCACGTCCCCGAGCTCCCTGTGCGGCTGCTCCCGCACCCGCTCGCGGTACAGCCGCACCGCCGTGCGCATCGAGATCGTCCCCCACATCGGCTTCATGTCCGGGTACAGCGTGCGGATGTACTCGAACCCCCGGTTCAGCGCCGGCAGCGCCAGCTCCGCCCAGTTGACGGGCGCCGTCCACCGCACCCAGCACACCTCGATGCTATAGGTTCCGGCACCATGCGGAACGGCGTACACGTTCCAATGGGGCAGTTTGCCTCGCGGAATGGGGTTGGGCGGTTCGAAGGGCGCGTGGAAGGTTAGGGCGTGGGTTACGAAGGGTTCAATCGAGGCGGGGGTGGGAGTCGCCATGGTGGGGTTGGGGGTGGTGGTTTGTGGTTTGTGGTTTGTGGTTTGGGTGTTCTGGGATTGATGGTTGGGGTTGGTTGTTGGATAAGGTTGGGGCGTGATGGTGTTTTGGTTTGAGGTGTGGACGATTGAGACTGGGCTTTTATATGTATTTGTGTTGAAGGGGGAAGAGATGGAGATCTACGCTTGTTGCAGCTGTGCTTTTGGGCTCTTTGTTATGAAGTCATGAGGGGTGTAGTGGCGGAGGGTTTTAGAAAGGTAGGGGGATCTTCGAGATACAAAGTTGATACCGTATTCACGTAGGGTTGCGGGACTTTTCATGCGGCTGTAGCTGGTTGGCTTGATGAGTGAGCGTTGAAGTGTATGTGCGTCTTGTCAATTTCCCTTCTGGAGATAAAGTATAGTCTACATCTTCTGGTCCCTACTGGCCTAGCGTGAAAAGATAGTGGGACTCGGAAGCGTTTCGCGTCATTAATTTGCTTTCTTGAACTAGGCATTATGGTTCTATATAAGCCAAAGGGATCGATACATAAAGGCATTTCCTTGTGTTGAGTAGAATTTAAATCAAATTTGGCGCATCGAATCAATCGGTCGACTTGTTCAAAAGTGATAGTTGAAAAACAACAAGCAAGAAAGTGGAAGAGGAAAGTGGAAAAAGGGAGCGAAAAGAATAGGAAATGAATCAATAAGCCACAAGACAACCCAAGAGTCAGATTTGTTCCGAGTCAGCAGGAGAGTGGTAATCTAGCTACCATCCGACACACGGGCTCTCCCTGCTGCCTGGGGAATCCTCAAGCCTTTTGAGAATATGTGTGCATTCTAGTCCCTTTCATGCGATATCACGTACATCTAGAACGGGCGGTTAGATCTTTCCTGTCAAGTAGTTCCGGCATGCATGATTGGAGGCGAGGAGAGCAGCACTTCAATCACAAGGTCTGGCTCGCTTGAAAAGGTTCACTTGTACTTGCCGTACAGGGATACGAAATAGAGGGAAGGTTGTAGGTGGTGTGCTTTCAATGGAGATCGAGGCAAAAGAGTCATCTAATTGGCCATGTCGTCGTCAACATTACCACAAAGCGAGGGGTTGAGGTCCGAGTTGATGGGCCTTGGTGACGGTCGTGGCGCAGCTATCTGCCCCTAGCGTTTGCGCTGCCTTTGGGCTGGAAGACCCCAGGGGCGTAACAGTTGATGACAACAAAGCGTCCTCCATCATCAGCTCGACTGGAATCGCATTTTCTCATCGGAAGGAAAGCTTGTAGCAAGCGGAGACAAAGAGTGAACTGCTGTGGGGACGATGGAGTGTGGTTCTATCAGATGTTCGGCATCGTCATATGCGGTGGATCCTGTAAAGCAGGGAGAGACATGCTGTTCCGTGCCAAGTGTAGCTCTGCACGCAGAGATGCCGACTTCCTCAAAGAGGCTTGACTATACGGGCCGAGTCGGAGATGTTGCGAGTAGGACACAGTTCTCTTACATGATGAAACCCCAAGGGTTTTTAACCGGCAGTAATGACTATCGGAAGAGGAAATTGCCGGACTACGGGCAGGAGTCCTATCGGAGGAAGAAGGCAAGACCGCCGACGAGGATGGAAACCAGTAGCAACCAACCAAAGTAGAAACCCCATTCCTCAGATTTTTCTCCCTGAGGATTGGCATCCAGCTCACTCATCAGCGTTTCCATTGTCTGTATAATAGATCCGACCTTCTCCAAGACTGGGGAATGTGCCGTGTACAGACTTTGAAGGACTCGAATCAGTTGGATAGAAGCTGTGACAGAAGCTGCCTGTTTCATCAGCTCTAATGTTGCGACCTCCCGGTCGTGTGCTGTTTGCAGATCATTCAGCATTATGACCATCAGCTCCAGGAGCTCTCTGCTGACAACGGCAGCTCGTGGATGCTTTTCTCTGAGAATCAATTCCCGGCTGTTGATGAAGTCCATAAACCGTGTTACTGCATCCATCAATCGCTTCTCACCGGAGTGTCGCGCTTCTAGCCCAATTGCGGTTGACAGAGTTGGGGCATACTCGTCCCCAGGTCGCTGGCTTTCACTGTTCCTCTCGAGAGCTTGCTTGAATTCGATGTCTGCGTCTTTCCACCTCTCTTGTTTAGCGCAAATGATTCCCAGCTTCATCCTAGCATTGATCTCGGCACTGAGCCCTTCTTCCGACCGTGGGCTTTGGTTGGAAAGCATGTCAAGATTCCGCACAAACACACCTTCAGCGTCTGTCCAGCGCATTTGTTCGATATATACAGCCCCGAGGTTTCCTCTAGTAGTAATCGTATCAAGATGTGCTTCTCCCAAGGTCTCCAACCGAGTTGTCAGGGCTTCTTGAAAAGCCTTCTCTGCAGCCTCCCACTTCCTTTGGCTGTAGTACAACGCTCCCAAGTGGTCTGTTAGGCTGGTCGTTTTTGGAGCCCATGGGGCAACCATGAGCTCCATTACTTGCTCACGCAAAGGCCCCTGGAAAATCTTGACAATTCGTTGGTAGATGGATGTAGTTTCGTTTGAGTCATCGTGCTTGCGTTGCAAAATTGCTCTGTATCTGGTTGTGAGAGATTCGTCCTCCCTATGCTCTTCCTTCTGGACTTGAAGCACATGGGTATACAGTCTCTTCGCCTCTACCAGTCGACCCTGACCCTCGTACACTTCTGCGAGCAGGCCCATCGAACCTAGAGTGGACGGATCCCTGCTGCCTAGGAGTCGCTTTTTTGCTTCCACCAATGACATCAGCAGACTTTGGGCATCATACCATTTGCCTTGCATCATGTGCAGTTGTCCCAACTCTTCGACAGCCTCAAAGGTTCTCGAATGTTCATCACCCAGCAATTCCTTCGCGACCTGGATGTCCTGCAAAGCTAGCTCCTCGGCCTGCCTCCATCTCCGCTGTCTGATGTAAACTCGTCGGAGAGTCTTCGAAGCGGATACTGTCACATGATGAGTGTAGCCGTATACTTGTCGGCTACTTTGAAGTACCTTGGCTCCTAGCTCTTCGGCTTGTTGCAGTCGACCTTGCATGAGGTAGACATCTGTGAGTGAGTCCATGGCCTCTAATGTCAGGTAATGGGTTTCCCCACCGAGCTCCTGACATGCCTTGATAGTTTGCAGATGGCGCGCTACTAGCTTCTCCTGGTTTTGTTGGTACTGCAAGACAAGAGCTTCCATCTCATTGACAAAAGTAGCCATCAGGTTCCCCGAGCCGAACAGCTGTTCACTTGCCTCTCTGAGCGTTGACGCCATCTGCTTCATGTCCCTATAGTCCATGCAATATGCCGCATGAGCCACACCTTTCATGAGCAGGGAGATCCAGTTAGGCATCAACACTGGTAAGCTTGGCCTTTCGGCGACTGCTTTTTTGAGGTGAGGGTATAAAAACTCGTACTTTGGCTGATCTTTGGCTTGGAATGGGAAAATGCGATCGAGGCTGTTCATGGATCTGCCTTGCCAGCGTGGCACGAGGCCCTCCCTTTCCAGCCACCCTTTTATAGCAAGTTGGACGAGTCTGTGCATCTCAAATATCTGGGGATCTCGCCTGATCGCGATGAACGAGAACTCTCTCAGCGTACGGATGTCATGCTCGAAGTCGAAGGCGCTATCAGCCGTTTCCCTCGGTACTCCGTACTCATTCTCAGCTTGGGTAACGTTGTCATCTCCTTCCTGCGCTCGTGGCGTGCTTCTGAGTAAGACCTCCGGTATTCCCTGCCGATCAAAGAAGCTCATCAGAGACAGAAGGTCTGCTGCGGTTGGTCTGGACTGTCGGATATAGTCGAAAGATATCTGCCACGTTCTCAAAATGGAGTTACTTGCTTCATAATCCCGTTGAGGCTGGGCAGCCTCGTGGTCCAGAATACGACTATTATTCTCGAAGTCCTTCAAGTACCGCGCAATGGAGTACCTCGGAGCATGATACCGCATGAAAGCAGAGGCTTGGATTATTGCCAGTGGCATGAATTCGAGCGCTTCGAGAAGCTTTCCCGCTTCTTCCTCATCGGCCGTGTTGATGCTAAGCTTCTTGCGTAGAAGGGCAAGTGCGGATGGTGCATCCATCGGGTTGATATGGAGGATGTCGCGTTCGCTAACTAATTTCAGTGCCACCGCCTTGTTTCGCGTGGTGAAGATGATCGCCCCGTGAGGACAGCGAGGAAGCAGTCCTAACAACGGCCTCTGCAGTGTGCTCGTTTGGCTGCCAGCGTCGTTTGTCTGGCCATTTTGCAACGGCTCCTCAAGCAGACCCTCATCATCCAGATTATCCAGTATCAAAATCCATTTCCCGTGCTTCGAATTATAAAGCCAGTTGTTTACCAGCTGGAGGACGTTGGCAGTAGCATCGTGCCGTCCAGGAAGCTCGAGACGATCGGCGATCTCTCGGTAGCTCAACTCAAGACGTGATGCGTTACTAGCATGGACCCAGAAAACCCACGTATCAGGCGATTCTTCGCGCACGCGATAGGAGTATTCAATTGCTAATTGCGATTTCCTTTCGAACGTCAGCAGACGATGAGGCGATCGTGGTTCACAGCTTACCCAACACCACCCAGCCCCTCAAGCGCTGTCCTCGATGCTGGTCTTGCACACCTCGCTTGGATATCGTCTAGTATCGAGCCACAGGCAACGTAGTCGTCATCTCGGGCAAATGGGATGGTGGAAAAGGGCTTTGGTGGTGTTTCAGGTCGCACTGAAATAGCAGCCTGGCTTTAGTCACACTGGTCCTGACGGTTGGGGGGCTGGACTGACCTGGAGGAAGGTGGAACTCGGCGGAAATATGGCCAGAGTTTTCACCAACCTGGAGTCCATAATTCACTGCAGGAAATGTTATCGACTGCATGTCTGACGAGCATCATTTGCGTACGGACCAAGGAATGGGTGGGGAAAGAGTAAGCATGTTGTATGAGGGGTAAGTTTGCAGATAGTGCTTAGCTGCATCATCAGGTGACTCTCCCCCTGGTCGTTTTAGTTCAGTCAGGTCTGCGCTTCAGCTCTTCCCCCGTAACCAATTTAGAACCAGTTAATCAGACACCTCACGATCGTTCGTGTACTGCCTAAAGTTCAACCAGTCATTGTTTAGGATGTGAAGGCTTCCTTACAGCCTATATTTCCAGACCAAGCCACAGCCTTAGGCTTCGAAACCATGGGAATGTGGTACTGGCATAACCTTATGAATCGGCAAGGACCGGCGCCTGGTTGACTCGGATGGCTACTTATTGTTGCCAGATTCTACCAAGGTCGGCAAAACACTCTCCACTAACTGAGGTTTCCTTATTGACATTCTGGTCTAGCAGTGGCCGAGCGCACTGTCGCGGTCATTTGGCGCCAGGCTAAGCAAAAATAGCTGCGGAATTTCCACCGGCGGCGCAGTCAACTCGCGCCATCTTTCACCACTAATAATTCTCAGACTACCAACAGATGCGGCCCACAGCTTTAGTCCCCGTTCCTTTCCGTTTGATCTTCCAGATAAGAACGCCTGTCATAGCCCACGGATCTCTCAGAACATACCTCCACTCTCCAGGCTACGTTTCCTTTGCGCACATAACGGCGTCATGGATGGCAACGCGGACAATCCCAGAACACCCTCACCTTCACCCAAACGTGATCGAGTCCTGCCATCAGTCGAGTTCACCTTTTCATGCAGTCCTTCATCCGCTGGAGGTGCGATAACTCCGACCTCGTCCGTGGACCAATCAAGCTCACGTCTCCGCGGAAGCGATCGGCGCTCGATCACGCCAACTGCACAGTCCCTTTTCGAGACGCTGCGTCTCAGTGAACATGTTAAGCCCCAAGAAGCTGAAGAGTCATCGGTTGACTTCACTCAGCAGGCGCAAAGAGTGTTTGGTTTGAGCCCGCCACCCAAATCTCTCGCCACAACCTACAGAGACCTCCACAATGCCACTCCTAGTCCTGCCGGACCCTCCTCCCGCCGGCCGGATCAGCAGTCGCGGGCAAGCACCCCCGCCTCTCCTCTGGAAGATGTTAAGAGCAAATTGACAAACCTGAATCTGGAAGGCTCAAAGCATACTGCAGCCAATGCTTCTGACAATATTCATCATGAGCTCGTTTTTACCGACCATGCTACTGTCGATAGTGATGACAACGCGACTCACGATGATTCGGAACACGGTCACTCCGACGAAGATGACGACGAAGGCGACGATGATGATCCATGTCGTTACAACGTTCGCCAGGAGGAACTCCCTCGAGCGCCAATATACGATATTCAACTTCAGAATGTACTACGCAATATCAGAGGTCAACTCGCTGGCCTTGCGCAGCAGCTTGGGAGGAGACGCGATTTGGTGAGCGATTCAACTACAATGTTGCATCAATTGTATGAGCAAGCACTCAAAGCGAGTCGATTTGCATATCCGGCAACGCGGACTGTGGGCTTCATCGGCGACTCGGGAATGGGTGAGTATCGGATCCATCCACCCTCAGACAGGAAAGGCTTATCTCGCATCAGGCAAGAGCAGCCTAATAAACTCCATTCTTTACCAAGAAGGGCTGGCTCGGTCGGTAGGTCAAGTCCTCAACCAGGAATAGCATTGGTTTATGGTGATTGACGTTCGCAGAGTGGGGACGGCGCTGCTTGCACGACTGTGGTTACAGAATTCCGGAGTATTAATGACGAACATCCGCAAAACTATACCGTTGAAGCGGACTTCATGGATACGAGCGAGATTCGTGAACTACTGGAGGAGTTGCTTTCCAGTGTTCGGAAATACTACACAGATGCCTTTCGCGAAGTGCAAGTTTCGGAAGAAAAGGAAGACATCAAGGCCGCAGCGCTGAGAGCGTGGGAGACATTACGGTCTCTCTTCCCACATCAAAAAGGCTTTGACCTCGAGTTTCTGTCCAAGGAAGGGGAAGAGCCGGTAGAGACCATCTTAACGACCCTGCAGGAATGGGCCATGGCTGGACTGGATCACCGACCGGGGGGGCGAGACAACCTTCGCTATTCCGTGGTAGCTCGGCATGCGGATGAATGCATGGAGCAGCTAGACAGTCTCATGGCAGACTCCAAAGATAGCAAGCGACCAGCGTTGTGGCCCTTTGTAAAGCTGATCAGGTTTGGAAAGGCTGATACAAGATCTTGCGGCATGTGGCTAATGACGTGGTAGGGTTTATTTGCGGTCGCCTGTCTTGCGCACTGGCTTGGTCTTGGCCGATCTTCCAGGTACTACAACACATTTCTCTTATTCGTTTGCGAACTTTCAGACATTGACATCCTTAGGCTTCCGCGACCTGAACTATGCTCGAGTCCGGGCGACAGAGAGGTATCTCCGTCACAGTTGCGACGAAGTGTTCATCGTCAGCTCCATACTCCGTTGTACCACCGACCAGTCGATCGGCGACATTATCCAACGTTGTGCAAGAGATCAACCCATTCGCATTGTGTGCACTCGTTCAGAGGTTGGTGTCTACTTTAGAGAGATCGGATGATGAGCTGACTGAAGAATGCCAGGACGTCGATGCAAAAGAGACTGCGCGCAGTTCTTCCACTGATGATGCTGCACGCATTCGCAATATGGACAGCCGAATCGAGCGTCTTGAGAGTAGCATTAGGTCGACGCGCTCCCGGAGGCGACGAGCGAGCGGAAGAAGAGGCCAAAGCCTCGCCGCTGAGGAGACAGATCTAAGGTGTGTAAAGCTAACAGAACAATCTCGCCATTGTTTGACATCATTACAGCGATCAGAAAGACGCCCTCCAGCTTGAGTAAGTGATACACCTTATTGTTCTAAGAAGCAACAGCAGCCGCCAACTAAACACTTTTCAGGTTGAATCGTTTCCTCATCACAAGAAGGAACACCCAAGTCACGGACATTCTGTTGGCCGCCTGGGGCAGCAATGCGCGGGTATTCTGTGTTAGCAACAAGCTTTACGCTGATCATCGATTCAACGACATCAAGGAAGCTAATGGGTACCGTGCGCTGAGTGGAATCACCGAGCTTCGTCGCTACTGCCAATCTGTTCCTGCTGATGCGCAGTTCCGGGCAACAGTCACTTACTTCAAAAATGATGTTCCGGCGCTTCTAGGTTCAATAAATCAATGGGTGTTGGCAGGCTCTAGTGGCATCACTGTCGCCCGAGCCGAATTACTGCGTGGTGTCTTAGTGGAGGCGGAAACGACCCTCCAACGGGTACGATCACTTTCACTAAAGAAACCCCATTTTCGTTCAAAGCACACGATTCGTACGGACTGGTGTGCTTCACTGACCTGAGAAGGGAACGACCGTTGCTGACTTGCGTAGAACATTCTCTCGCAGGACTCAGAAGTGCGCCGAGCGCAGGGTACTTTGGAACAGTTATTTACTAGTGACATTATTCGACTCATTCGTGCGTATGAACCTTCACTGGCTTCAAATACTTCGCTAATCGAGGAACATGATGCAGAAAAGTCACGAAACGTCTGGTGCAATAGCGCGGTCGTTGCGAGCAGAGAGTGGGCTTCAGTAAGTCAAAGAGACGTACCAGGCACCATTGATACCAAGAGTTAATCTCTCATGTTAAGTGGAATCACATGACATACGCAGCCTTCTGTCGCAAGTATGGAAGTCACGAGACGGGGAATCAGCCCTACCGTTGCTGGAATGAGGAGATTCTCGGCTCCGCACGTGATTGGCTAACCCTCGCATGGGATGTTGTGTTAAGCCAGTTGGAGGGACATGCGGAAGGCTTCGAGAAGGGACTTTCGCGTCTGTTCAGGGAGGTCTGCGAGTCTATCGCAAGTAAGCAATTACGTTGAAATCAAAAGTGCAGATGAAAGGTGGATTGCTGATACGATCAAACTTTCAGAACACCAGGACCGCGCGCCAGAATCGCTGCAGAATCTGCTTTCGAATATCCGCACCCGGCAAAGATGCTTGGAGGAAGCGGTGCGCAGTTCCTTCCATGATCTTGTATATACCACGGAGTATGGGTTTTAGTGCAAGGTGGTCCAAACGATGTTGGCTGATTAGCTTCACAGAAAAGTCAAAGCCGACACGATCCACGGGCATTCCAGTTCCTATATCGCGGGTGTCATGCGCCCAGTCTATAACATCTGCCAAGAGCAATACGGTAGGGGATCGAGCTCAGCCAATGAAAATGACGAAAGTCTAATTTCAAGTCGGTGGATGCAGGTACCGGAAGCGATTCCCGACGCAAGGGAACAATGAACAGCTCTCTTTCATCTCCAACGCTTTTCATGCAATTCGCCTCAAATATCGCTGAAGACTATCACCGCATATTGAATCAGACCTTCGATCAACTAGACCAAAGGCTGCGCGACGAGATTGCAAACATCACTCGGGACCTGCGGGCTTCAGTCACGGTCGACGGCGAGGTTTCTGAAGCGGGGCAGAACCTTCGACATGCTAATCAGGTGAAGGAGAAGGTGGAAGAAACTCGCATTGTTTTAGATCATGCTCAGATGACGGCTCGAGAGTTGGCAGAGGGGATGGCGTCTTGATCTGTTGGCTTGGATTGAGCTATGCGGGATAGTGGAGCATTGCTAATCAAGCGAGTGGTCGCAACCTGCATTATCATTTTTGTCGCCATACAATGTCCACATCATTTGTTTTTTGGATCTATCTAAGGCTACAAATACATGCTCGGTCGATCCCTGTTCCGCTCCACGCCCATAACCTCTCGTTTAATCAACCTTGATAACCACCTTGCCGAAATGCTTCTGATCCCACAGATACTGGTACGCCTCACGCGCTTCATCGAACCCAAAGACCCGCTCATCAACCACCGGCCTGATATCATTCGCCTCAATCGCCTGAATCATATCCAGCATCTGCTCCTTGCTTCCGATCTGGATACCCCTGACAATCGCCGCGCCCGTCAAAGTATCCAAGATCTGCGGGGGCTTCTCATCCTCGGCCCCGCTCGTGCCGCCAATATACCCGATGACACTAATCACCCCCTCCAGCTTGACGCACTTCAGACTCTGGCGGACGGTATTCGGGCCGCCGACCTCAACCACATGATCGACACCGTGGCGCGTCAGCTTCCGCGCCGTCTCGCCCCAGTTCGCATCCTCGCGGTAGTTGATCACATGGTCCGCGCCCAACTCCTTGAGTCGCTGCGCCTTCGCGTTCGAAGAAGTCGTGGCGATCACCGTCGCACCAGCCGCTTTAGCGAACTACCCAGCAGATCAGTCTTACCCCAACATACGGTAAAAGCAAAAGGGAGAGGTAAACACACCTGCAACGCAAAGACAGAAACCCCACCGGTCCCCTGCACGAGAACCGTCTGCCCCGGCCGGAGCGGCTTGACCCCGTACAGGGCATTCCACGCCGTCAACGCCGCACAGGGCAGGGTCGCACTCTCCACCGGACTCAGATTCCTCGGCGCATGCACGAGACTCATCTCATGGAAGACGCGGTACTGCTGCAAACACCCATCCAAGAACCCGCCCAGCCCGGTCTGCTGAGCGGCCGCGGTGAGATCGCCGAAGAGATGGGCGGCGAAGAAGAGCGAGGTGATACGGTCGCCTGCTCGGAAGGCGGTGACTTTGCTGCCGGTCTGGATGACGGTTCCCGCCCCGTCGGAGCAGGGGATTAGGTCGGGCTTGCTGGGGAAGGGGTATTGGTTCTTTTCCGGGAAATTAGTTGGGCTTCTTCTGTGGAGTGGGGAGGGGGAAGGAAAGGACAGACCATGGGGATACTGGCGTCACGGTAGTTGAGCGAGACCGCCTCGATCTTGACCAGGACGTCGTACTCGCCGACTTGCGGGATCGGGGAGCTGGTGCGCTCCAGGCTGTCGAAGGTGTTGCCGAAGTGGCGGATGATCCATTGGTTGTTGGTTTGGGGGGGCATTTTTGTGGTTGTTTTACCGGGAAGATGATGTGGTAGTTGTGAGGAGTGAAGAGATGGTAGAGGTCTTCAAGGGTAAAATATACTCTCCGGATCTGGGATACCGAGATCTGCTCGCCCAGATTATGAAATCATGGAGATTCATGCAGGGCGGCGGGGCTGACAAATTTGGGCCAATTGTATGAGGGCTTGGCGGGGAAGTGGAGACGGGATTCTGCGGTGGGATACCGAAGTCTGGATTCTGGGTTACTACGTAATTAAATCAGATCTCGATTTTTCATCTAAGGGGGAGGCAGGTCATTGCTTGAGTTCAGCTGTGTTAGTGATGCGGATTCATTGCAATCTTTGTATTTGTTTCGCGGTGATGAAGAATAATTCTTGTTTTGCCTGGTTTTGACTGCTATATATCTACGGAAATCTTCTCCAAAACGAGATTATCCAGTGCTGAGGCTGGTCCCTTGGGGACTTACCATGATCCTTTGATCGCCGAGAAGGTGCTATCAGTAATATAGATACAGGGTTCTCTTCAATAATTATAAGGAAATACTTCAATCTGACATCTCAAAAGTAGTGGTTGAGAGACGGACATGCATTGCCCGGAAGGAAGCATGCAACGGGAAAGACAGAGTCACGTGGTATGCTTCAGAGTCACAAACACGTGATGCCTCGTGCCCTGACATCTGCAGGGTAATAGAGTTATTGAGATCGTGTGTGAAGAGTTTGGGTATGTGCTTAGCTGAGTGCGTCTAACGTATCATATGTTGTGTTTGGCTTCATCAAAAGAAACATGATATAATAACGCAGGAGGATAGAACTGTATAGCAGTTGCGCAATGAATCCTCGACACCACTTAGAGAAAATGTTCGGAGAAAAGTCAGTGTTTCTTAGGTGGTATGTGCTTGGAGTGGCAACCACTTCCGCCCACAGTGTGAAGAAGACGAAGCTGCTGTTTGCTAGACGGCACCACTAGCTACGCTAATATATAGCAGTATATTTTCATGTACGAGAAAAAGAAATAGAGACGCGAGCAGTTCACCGCTAAATATTTGATTTGATACACATACAACAGAGCAAAATTCTCAACATGGAATATGAATCCTCAACCACTACCTTCACACCGCTCAATCCGACGAATAATCTCCTCCACATCCTCCCAAATCCTTCGTCGGTTCCGCAACCCCTTCAACCGAGCCCACTGACTCTTGACCCGAGTAAAAACACGGTGCCAATCGGTGTTCGCCCTTTCCAGCCTCACTTGCTCCGGCATCACAGCAGGCCACGGGACCAGGTGGTCCACCAGATCAACCTGATCCGGCGGCTTGGCACCCAAGACCTTGGCGTAGTGATTCCGCGTGTCATTCACAAACTTGACCTCGTTCGCGTTCACCATCGTCCACCACGAGGGCGTGTGCTCGATCTCTGAATCGTTCCACGCCTCCCAGAGCCAGGGCATCTCGTCGCGGACGAGGCGGTACCAGACACCGTTGGGGAGGTGCGTAAATGCCCGCGACGCCGCGCGGAGGCGCGTGATGTCTGCTGCGTCGAGGAAGCTGATGATGTGGAGACGGAGGTCCAGCGGGAGGGAGCTCAGGTGGTCGACCACGCAGGTATCCGGGTGAGTTCGCTCCGCATTCTCGAAGGTAGCATTACTCACCTCCACCTCCTGCTCCTGACTCGTCGCCCCTACGAGCAACGCCGGTAAGCCAGGCACGTAAAGCGGGTTCGCAGCCAGATACTCTCTGCCGGGTTTATGATCCCACCATTGCTCCTGCGACTCGAGGACATCACCCGCCCGCGGAAACTCATGGAACTCTTCATAGCTGCACTCGGCATCGCGCCATTTGATGAGTCCGTCGACGTTTACCTTGTTGAAGTGCCGTTTCGATTGGCGGGAGAAGATGTCGAAGCACCACGGGTGGAACGGCATGGCAAGCTCGTGGGGTTCCATGGACTGTTGAGGGTGGGTTAGCGATTATCCTCCAAGGGGTTTACTCTTGGATAAACTGTACCACGAATTACTTACCCCGAAATTGACATTGTCCGCCGCCACAGTCTCGACCCCACCCCGCGCGGGCCAGACATCCGGATACCCGCAATCGCGCGATCGCATCCCGTCACATACGCCGGAGATGAACCACTCCGCATCCGTCTCCCAGTTCTCGTGCAGCCCATCGGGCTTCCACGTTCCCTCCGTCTGCGACTTATGCACGAGGAACTGGGCCGTCCGGCAGCCGCGCATTTCGGCAACGGAGATCGCCGAGCCGGGGTAGGCGCTGGGTTGGCCGCACGTCGGGGCGGGGATGTGTTCCAGGTCCTCGGGGCTGCAGTCTTCCGGGAGCTCGGAGAATGTGATTGGAATCAGGATGTCTTTTTTCGTTCCGGTGGTTTTGGAATAGGCCAAGCCTCCGATGGGTTCTCCGGTGTAGTGTCTTGGGTTGAGTGTGCGGAGTGTGTTGGAGAGGAAGTCGCGGTACAATTCTTCCTCTTCATCCTCCGTCGTGGTCGTCTCGCCTTGTTGAGTATCGTCATCGTGATGGTCTTCGGAGAGACTCATGGCTTTATCTGACTCATAATCTGAGTCGTATTCGTACGGCTCGTCAGCTCCATCGTCGTACTCCTCAGGCTGATAGTCGGGATCAACCTCTAGATCGTCATCCTTCTCTCCGGGATATGGGTATTTGAGAGCGAAAACGCAACCCTTCTTAGCACACTCGGCTAGATCTAGATCCTCGATCTCCATGGAGAGGCTATCGTCGCTGCCAAAGGAGGCAACGTGGGGCTCTCCGACATCGCGAGCACGACCGATGTTGAAGCTGACACCGCAGAAATGGCAGTAGGCCTGGCAATTATTGTCAATTGGCTTTGGTACTAGATGAGGGTGAATGCGCCCCGTACCTCGGAGTATCCTGTAGCGGGTCATTAGTTATCGACTCAATTCCCTGTTTGCAGGTTGCTCTTGAGGGAACATACCCATTATGCTTGCTTAATATCTAGTCAGATTGGTTGATGATATGTCCCATGGATTTGATGTGCAGCACAGAAGAATATGTTGTGTGTTGTGGATGAAGTGGTATTTGAGTTGGATGCCAGAAACCGGGTCTCGGCCAGGCTCCCGTGTGGCTGGAGTTAGGCTGCACTCCGCTCCCACAAATACGAGGGGCGGTGTGGCTGTGCAGCTAACCAGTCAGTAGCGGTGGTAAATCGACACGTGACTAAGGCAGCGTTGGACTGGGAGATTGCAAAGGATTTTGCATCAACCTCACGTCCTATTTCTGCGCAAGCATCCCATGCTAGAGGCAATATGTGTCTGTTCTGATCTAGAACCTGAGTATTCGAAGTTGTTTTCCCGTAGTTGAATCCACAGGTTGAGAGTCCGGTGGCCAATCCACTCAATGCCGTTCCTAAAATGTTGTAGATCTATACGATCTAATCCCTTGGAGTTGTCCTGAGAGGAGAATGCGCTAACATTCTACTGCTGTATGAGTGCATTTAAAGAAAGACTTGAATTGATCATTCATGAGCTATTCTGTGCATATTCCAGCTTGGAAGTAAATGGCCTATTACACATCAAGCACCTTAGTCCCAGTACTCTTCCCCCGCAACTAGCCACTAGAACCTCTTGACTAAATGAACATGCTCCCAGAAACAGCCAGTACTAGGTAGCCAAATCCTCTGTTGCAAACCAGAGACAAAAGCCAAGCCGGTTTCCAAGCTCCAGTGAAGCGCTTCCATTGTCTCACGCACGTAACCTTGCTCAGCCCTCGACCGCACGGGCAAACTGAATCTCGAAGTCTATCGGGAATTCGCGCAAGGCCGATTCGCGAAAGTCCTCCTCCGGAAAGTTGTACTTCACAATCTCTCCAAGCAGCTCCCTTGCACTCTCATAGGCAGCCCCCCCATGCGCAGCAGAGCCCTCGGTGATACGCCATCCGCCCGGTCTGGTACAGGACGCGCGGGGGAAGTCGTCCAGAATCTCCAGCCCCCAGTTCGGGCCGTTGGTGACGACCCCACGCAGTGCAGCGGGGGCGTCGACGACAATATACAGGTTCCGGCACCACAGCTGGACACCCCTGCTGGAGAGCCTCGGGGGCGAAACAAATCGAGGATCCATGAGCATCTGCTGGGGCAGCGCCACGCGTCGGATGATGTTGTCGTGCTCGGGGTATCGACCAGGCCCTTCGATCGATAGGACGTAGTACATGTTCCACATCTCCCCCAGGAAGTCCGTCCATTTGTCATCGGGGCAGAACACTATGTCGCGGCGGGGATTGAAGTGGCGCATTGCGAGCCTGTTGTGGTCTTCAGTGTAGGTGTCGTTGTCCACGTCCACTTTGAGACTCGGAGACTGGCGTTGGACCCACTCTTGGGCTACTTTGTGGGCTTCTTTGTTCACTCCGAGGAGCGGGATCTCGACCGAGAAGATGCCCATCTCGATTGGGTCGATGAGGTCAGGGACCCAGTTGTCGTAGTCGTCATACTTGTCGTCCAGCCTGTGTTTTATCACTTCGACTGTCCTCCAGAAGAATAGAGGGTTGTGGATCGGGCCGGGGAGAGCAGCGTTCCAGATCATGAGCCGGATCTCCGGAGGAAGGCGCGGGAAGGAAGGGAATTCTGAGGTCGCCATTGTTGTTGAACACGGTTTGACAGCGGTGGAGGAATGGCTTTTGTAGCAAGGATGGAGGATAGGTGCGAAAGAGAATCGAAGGACGGCAACCGATCAGAATGTGATGGTAGACGATGGGAGTTACGAGGAAAGAGATTGGTTGATGTGGGACAAGATTACTTGATCGAAAAAGAATGGCTGTGTTAACAGAGGATGACGGGGTTGAAAGAAGGTGGTCGAGTTTGAGGAGGATAGGTGCGGTTGCCTGCAGGCAGCGAAGGTATGGAATTGGCAAACCTTTTCTGCTGGTCAAAGGCTGCTTCGAGTGAATGCCTTCATCAACTCCCTAAAGTGCTTGAAAATCACGTGTCCCGATGCTTTGAGTGGACAACTGAGAGACTTGGCTTCTCTGGACTGGAGATTTGCCCTCATATGAATCCTTCCCTGGCTGAAATCCAACCATTCCGCTCGCGCGGTCAAGCACAAACTTGTTACCCTGATCTGAAATGTTCTCAAGAAAGGAATACTAGTTGGATCTCTAAGAGCCTGCTGCAGGCAGCCATTCGTCTCGTACGGCATAGATATCCTGTTCTTCCGCTGCGAGGCCTAACAGTCGATCCATTCAAGATAGAGAGGATCATTGTAGTAGATATGCGTTGAACCTTGTAGGAGCACGCTAAAGTGGAAGCTTTGGTTGCCACGTAAGAGCAGGACGTTGGAACTACTCGTAGTTGTCAGAAAGGTTGTAGCCTAGGCCTGTCTCCTATTGAATGCTTTTATTGCCTTGATGAAGAGTCAGGTGTCGCCTGGTCCAGGCATCTGCTCGGTCCGTACCGCAACGCCTTAGCAGTTGGGCCTAATATCGAGCAAAGCGACATCTCGAGGGGCCATCTGAAGTTGCTTTGAACCTTCTAGAAGTACTCAAAACTGCTCTAGAATTATAGCTTTTCTTTACACAGCAAAGCGGGAAGTTGCAAGGCCTTGTAAATAAATCGTTGTTCTTCAATATAGCTACAGACTGTATTCTTATAGCGCTACCAGATACCAAAATCTGTGCTACAGTATCGGGATCCAAGTCTGGAAGTGGATTGTGTTGTAGGTTCAACACTTTTTATGAAGTACTGTTGCATTAGTGGCCAAAGAGACTAGTAGACACGAACTGGGTTAATTTGCATCCAGATCAACTGGCCACAGATAGATAGACAGGCAGACGGCAAGGTGCGACAGTAGCACAGAGGACTCGGCCCCCAAAAACCCCCACGTAGAACGATTCATCCTATTCAGAGTGTGGAATCGACATATAGCCTCCGCCTCACTTCTTCACTACACGGGCGAAGTAGATATCAAAGATCACAAGACCGACGGAACGGAGCCACCCCTTGAAATGGTCTTGTGGAAAGGCGTTCCGCACAATCCGGTCGAGCAGATTCTCTGCGCGCTCGTAGGCATCCACGCTGCTGCTGCTGCTGCTGCGGTGGGGGCGGCGGCGGCGACGAGGGTGGCGGGGACAAGACCCCGGACGCCCAAAACACCCGGTGAGCCACTTCCCGCCCCGGCTGCGGTTGCCAATCCACCAGGCTCTAGGCAGATCTTCCAGAACCTCCAGCTCCCACCGTTGCGGCACCTGCCAGTCCCATTGCTCCCCGGAGCCCGGTTCAATCTGCCGTAAGTCGGCGGGTGCGTCGACAATGATGTACAGGTCGTGGCACCACGCTTGGATTCCGCCGCGGAATATCTGCTGCAGCTTGTCCGGGTGGTCCTCGAGGATCTGCTGGGGCAGTGCCACCGTACGAATCAGGTTCTCTTTCTTGATGTATTTGCGTGCATCGGGTGAGCCCATCACGCGGTACAGGTTCTCGACTTCCGCCACGAAATCCGGGAATTGGTTGTCGGTGCAGAACACGACGTCTCTCCCGGCGTTGAATCGGCGGCTGGCGGCGGTCTGGTTCGTTCGAAGTCGGGTCAGGGGAGGAAGCTGTCGCTGGATCCACTCCTTGGCTACCCGTTCCGCCTCCTTGTTCACCTGGAGAAGCGGGATCTCGATCTTGAAATGGCCCATGTCATCCGGGTGTATCAGATCATAGTCCCCGCCCATGGAATTTCGCGCGGCTGCGGGCCGCCACGGCGCCCTCCTCCAGAAGAACAATGGTTTACCGATTGGGTCGGGTAGCGCGGCTTCCCAGATCATGAGACGAATTTCGGCGGGAAGACGCGAGAAAGTTAGGGATTCGGATGTTGCCATGGTTTATGGAATCAGCTTTGACAGTAACTCGAAGTAAAGAAGTATCGGTAGCAGGCGGGATGGAGGGCTGGAAGGAGACAACTTGAAGGAAGTGGGACCGATGAAGACGACGGCAGGATATGATGGCAGGATATGATGGCAGGATATGATGGCAGGATATGATGGCAGGATATGATGGTAACTGTGACCGATAACGATGGTTGACATCAAAGAAGATGGTTGAGGTGAATAGAAAAGGTTGAGACGGAAGAGGAGGAAATGGGCTGAGAGATGGCGGATGTGATGGGTGAGGATGCTCATAGGCAGTAAAGGTGGGAAGATAACAATCATGTTTGTCGCCTTCGTCATATCACTTTCAGTGAATGCGTCTCTCATATGTTGCTGAAATTAATAGACAATGAGGGGCCGGCCTTAAAGAATGAGTAACCGGAAGCTATCAACTTGAGCTCGAGCCTGAGATCAACCTCTTACTTGTTTGGAATTGGGTTGGAGGGGCTATGAGCCTTTCGAGTATACCGTATGTTAAAGTCTCTCCAATCTCTTTTCTAATATGCTGTTGCCTGCCTGAACCTGGCATATTGAGCTCTACAGGTACGGACAGTGCAACATATCTCTTCACGCTACCCAGATGAACAGGCGAACGATTTGTTGCGCAAATCAACCAGTTATCATCCTGCATAAAGTGGCCTTGTTTTTGCCTTGACAACCCACTTCAGCATACAGTGCCGTGAGAACAACAGTACGAACAAGCATAAGGTAAGGCTCATTAGTTCCTACATGACATAGGTCGTTTGTTGATGTCTTGTGCTGGGTCTGCTCACAAGACATTAGATCCCCAGAGACACTCGGTATCAATGAAGAGAATGCTCAGAATCTTACAAATTCCTACTCTCATTTCTAAGGCTTCAAATACCTAAACAAATAAGAATCATCGTTCCTCGCCTATCCTCATCTATCCTATATCAGCCCACCACACTGCTGTCAACAACAACACTAAGGAAGCGCTGTGAAGAACCTCAGAATGATCGGTCAACTGCCATGACCATGTTCTGTGTATTATCGCTTTTACTGGTCTTTGCCGTTGACAGAACCACGGTATAGAGGTACTTGAGGATTTTCTATAAACATTAGATTGATGCCTGGTTGTGCGGGCGACTGTTCTTTTGGGTCACTAAGCGGTTGAATCGCCTCCGCAGGTAAGTGGCGGCCTCAGGCCACCGCTCCGGAGATTCACACTGCGGTCGGAGATTTGCTGAAAGTCCGCGGACTTTCAACACCAACCCTAACGTTGCTGGCCCCCGTTGTCTTGCTCCGGATCTCGTCAAAACTCCGTTGTTGAGTGAGAACATATGACAAATACTCACAGACTTCAGGATTGAACATGAGTTATAAGGGCACATTCAGACTGACTCTCCCACTTTCATCCAGAAATCGAAGTCAGGCCTGCCCTCAAGGCGCTCTTTCTGTCACATAAGCTGCAGTCATTGAAAGGATTGAGGATTGATTTGATCATGTCTTCTACCAACGAGTCTACAACGCTTGAGAACCAACTACTTCGCAAAGAGAAAGTCGACAAGGGCGATGATCCGATGTCAGGGCTTGGCGGTGTTGGCGAGCCAGACGCTGGAGGCCCTTCATCCGCCTTTTCATCGACCTTCCAAGAGGTCCTTTTCATCTTTGTCATCGGCCTATCCCAGCTGTTCTCTGTCGGCGGTCTCGGAAATACAGCTTTCTCAGTACAACAGATTGGCCACTCGCTCGGCGCCACAAGCAATGGTCAAATGTCCTGGTTCCTGGCCGCATATTCACTGTGCGGCGGCGTCTTCGTTCTGGTGACCGGCCGACTGGGCGATCACTTCGGCCACAAATATGTCTTTCTTTTCGGGTGGATGTGGATGGCCCTATGGTCACTCGTGAGTGGCTTCGCCAAAGGTGTGATCCTTTTCGACATTGCTCGCGGGATGACGGGGATAGGCAACGGGGCACTGGTCCCCAACTCCTTCGCCCTCCTCGCACGTGCCTTCCCCCCGCTGTCGGTCAAGAAGAACATCGCCTTTGCTTTCCTCGGATTCTGCGCACCATCGGGTTACATATTTGGAGGCCTCGTCGGCGCTGCCTTCGCCGAGAAAGTCACCTGGCAATGGGGGTATTGGTTTTGGGCCATTGGCTGCCTCGTCCTGGGCGCAGTGACGTACTTCATCGTCCCCCACCGCGTGGGTTCGCCAATCCCTGGTCTCAGCCTCAAGCGTTTTGACTACCTCGGATCCTTCCTCGGCGTCTCGGGTCTCATCCTCTTCTCCTTCGCCTGGAACCAAGCCTCCGTGGTAGGCTGGCAAGAACCTTACGTCTACGCGCTTCTCATCGTCGGAATTCTCCTGATCGTCGCATTCGCCATCTCGCAGTCCCACGTCCCGACCCCCGTCCTTCCCAACACCCTCTGGACCCGCAAGGGCTTCTCCCCCGTCGTGACAGCCATGTCATTCGGCTGGATGTCCTTCGGCATCTTCCTCTACTACACGACGATCTACATTCTCACCATCCACCAAGCGCAGCCACTCACAGCAGTCACACAGATGGTTCCGCTCGTGATCGGGGGACTATTCGCGACCGCCTCCGTCGGGCTCTTCATCACCAAAGTCCCCGCGCAGTACATCTTCGGCGTCTCCATGTTTTCCTTCCTGGTCGGCAACCTGCTCATGAGCTTTGTGTCGTACTCCCCCATCTACTGGGCCTTCATCTTCCCCGCGTGTTTGCTGGTGGTCGGCGGACCGGACCTCTCCTTTGCTTCGTCGGGTATCCTCATCTCCAATGCGGTCCTGCCGGAGGAGCAGGGCGTCGCCGGCTCGTTTATTTCGACAGTCGTACAGTACTCTATTTCTATTGGTCTGGGCATTGCTGCGACCGTCGAGGCGCATGTCAATCACGGGGGAGCGGATGTGGTCCGCGGGTATCGAGGGGCGCTCTGGCTCGGGATCGGGTTTGCGGCGGTCGGCTTCTTGATTGTGGTTCTGTTCATTCGGGATAGCCGGTTTGATGAAAAGGGGAAGAATGAAAAGGCTGATGCGAGCAGCACGGATAGCGCTGAGATGCCGATTGACAAGGTGGATGTCTGAGACTCTTGTTCGGGTAGTTGGAAATTGTTGGGGAATTGAGCTAAGGGTTATGTATAGCTAGATTGGGTAGAGGATAGGAGTTTGTACTTAAGTTCCGGCAGAAATAACAGATTCATTGACTTGACTATAACAACAAATAAGACACAACAAAGTACGCAAAACGAGTAGCTGTGGTCAATCGATCTATGTCTTTTCCCTTAGCTCTTCTAGGGTAAGCAACTTAGACTATGTAATCGGTTTCAATCGTAACTCCATGGTTCCTGCGGGTAAATTAAGCAGCCTCTGGATCCTTTTTCCCCGGAGAGCAAGGCACTATTCACTGCCGGTCGGAGATCAGGGAAGATCATGTTTAGAAGATTGTCCCCTGTTCTCTCCATGAGAAGCCACGCACTCTCCTCTTCAAAGGTTCTTTTCGCTAAATTTGTGCGTGTACTGTTTCAACTCCGGCGGCTGATCAAGTAGTGCAGGAAATACGTCGTGCCGTGTGGCAGAGGGGAAACGGGAAAGTCATTGAATTTTGTCCTCGAATGTGGGCAGTCTGAGCAAAGTAGCAAGGTAGGAGACCCCATCCATCGTAGCAATTGGTGATTATCTTTTCTGGTTGACTTGTGATGTCGCCGTCTGTCTTCCGGGTTATATGAGTTGAGTCCGAGCGGGTGATCCCTGGCTAGGTTGGCAGATTATACCTACCTAGTAGTAAGTTACTAGGTAGGGTAAGATCTGGTAGCCGGGATCGGCTGATCACCTGACCCAATGGTCCGTGGCATAAAGCCCCGCGCGGTCAACTGGTCAGCCTAACCCAATCACGACTAACCTCGCGTCAGCTGGCAGGTGCAGGCGGCTGCAGCATTCCAGGGAGCGATTCCCCCCTCCCTACTTTTGGTCTCTGATCTAACCATCACGGAGAGCGAGCAGAATGGTTGATGACGACCGCAGCAAGGCTACCCCGGGCTCGCACTCGTGGGTACGCAAGTTTACGCTGTCGTGTTCCCGTTGTAGGGCGCTGAAGCTAAAATGCGACCGTAAAGAACCCTGTGTTAGTGCCCACGTCATCCACGCGCGAGCGATCGACACGCCCTTGAAGCTGGAGGCTTACAATCCTTTTACAGGTGGAATGTGTCAAGCGTGACCTTGGCCATCTTTGTACCAAGGATGAGCGACACCCGAGGGCTAAGCGGTCCAAAACCGTGCACAGAGGCAAGACAGCGCTCAAGCAGTGAGACACCGTTGTTGAACCAAGGTTCATGAAAACAATGCTTACGCCTGCAGGAGTCTGCCAGCGAATGGAGATAGTGAATTGGAAGCCGAAGAGACCGCTCAACTCTTGGAGCATTTCGTCGAGGGGATTCCCCGACCGAGTTCTATGGCCACAACACCGATGTCGGTCGCCCCGGATTTTCTGAATCGGTACTGGTCCGCTACAGACCTTAAACGACACGGCGAGAGGCTCGCCTTGATCCGAGAGATCATCGACGTACTGCCGGAGTGGGAGGTGATCCACGTGCTTTTTGAGGTATTCGTCACTCGCTGCCAGGGCCCTTTGGGGAATGTGGTGCACACTCCGACATTCATGGCGCAAGCTGCACAGTTCGGCAACTGCTTGAATCTCGCTTCAGCAGAGGAACGGGCTTCCGCGATAGCAAGTGCAATCACTATGGAGACACTGGGCTGTTACCTCTTGGCGGTAGGTGGAGTCTACCTGACACAAAAGCCCCATGCTCACATTATTGTTTGCTTGTCAGCTTGTGCTCGGTCTTGCTTTTCATCCTACGCCCTCGATATTGGGATGGAATCCTACGCCGTCGGCCTTGCGCGTGGAAGAGTTACGATCGTCCCGTTTGCGCGTCAAGACATGGAGGGCTCTAGGCTTGCGCTGTCTCCAGGACGGAGTGTCTCTCTTCTGTGGCTCAATCGCTGGGTTACAGGCCGCAGTCATGCTCCTACTCGACGGCCAAGAGGACTCATTGGCGCTGGACGCGGTTCTGGTCACTGCGATCTCGGGAGCTCGCAGACTTGGTCTACACCGGCTGAGGGATATCAAGTTGGACGCGTCTGCATCATGTTCAGCACGACTCGAAAATCACACGACAGGACCGGCAGAACCGCCACATATTCGAACAGAAATAGGTATTCGGATATGGTAGGGCTGGCCGAGAAGAAACAGCACGAGTCCTTTGCTGACATTTTCGTACAGGTGGGCACTCGTCCAAAGGGACTGGTCTCGCGGACAGGCCCTCGGCTACTACACCATCCAACCATCACAATTCAACACCCGGATGCCGCTGCACGTCAATGACGATGATCTCTCTTTATCAACCTTACGGGTGGATATCAATGGACTGATTGCAGAGCGGCCTCGATCTGAGTTCACCATGACGTCGTATACTCTCCACGCCCTCGAAATCACCGGCATTGTCCGCCAATCCATCCAGTTATGGGATTCACCAACACTTGAGCCCGACATGACCACTCGATCCACCAGATTACGCAAACATCTCAACAATCAATATGAAAAGTATGTTGCTGGTCTGCCGGCGTATTTCCGACTGGGAAGCACGGTCGGACTTACCGCCACCGGGAGTCCAATGGCGGCGATCCCCGTACAACGCTGGATGCTGCATCAGCAACTGTGGAGCTTACTGCTTCGACTGCATCGGCCCAGTCTCTCATCGTCGATCGGTCGTACTTTCTGTCAGCTTCTGGCCCAGAATATTATCGGTACCCAGGGTCAGATCCAAGCGCGGTGCACGGTCTGTGGCTCGCTGTCGACCAGCGAGATGCAGCTTTTCAACGCGGCTGTGGTGTTGATACTGGACTTGATCTTCACGTCCAGGTCAGATGATAATGTGGATAGTGCCAGCGCACAACAGCTTAGCCGACTGATGACTCGCGACAAAATCCGGGAAGCGATGGAGTTACTACGAGCTGAGAACGCCAAGAACGGGCCATCGACGCTCCACGATCCGCACAGAAAGTCAGAGGCCGAAGGGCCCGCTCAGCGCTGCGTTGTTGCTTTGGAAGCCTTGATGGAACTTGAGGAAGAAGACAGTTGCGATCAAGACGGTAGTTCAGCCGCTGGAAGTACTCGCGGAGAACAATTGGGTGGTACAATTCCGAAAAGACTTAGGGTCGCGGGTATTCTGAAAGCCTTGAGCCGAAAAGGCCCTGATCCTGCTAACGCACCAGGGCACGCGCATCCGCAACCCCCATTCGATCCCTCTTCACCATTCAACCCATTACCACCACTTGTCGATGGTGGTATCACCGACGGGTTTTCAGATCTGGATGTGCTGCCAGTTCTTTCCAATGGCCTCGTCAGCCCAGACGACCTTTGGCAGTGGCAATTCTTGGACTTTCCCCTGCCACCGCTGGATTCTTGCGATCCATTCCCTAAAGATGTCCCGTTTGGTACACTAGGAGACGATCTCCCTGGCGCCCTTGATATGGGCGCTTCGGACACTTCGCCGTTTGCCGACTGTTAGTGTAAGCGTTACTCCTGGTACGCGTATGACGCACGCCTTGCGTTCGTCTCCTGGATAGTTCATCTACTCCTTTGGGTGACGCCAAAGAGTTCGCCCAGAATCCGCTGGAGCGCCGCCCATGCCTACATTGCTGTCATGGTGAACCATGTCGGGAGTAATAGAATATGAGGGTCTATAGACTATAGTTCATTCCGCGAGACTGCGGCTAAGACATAATTCTGTCGTCTCTTCTAGTCAAGCGTCTTCACAGCTGCCTCGTCCATAAGCCATTCCAGATCAATGTTTCGTAAACAGTCTTCGAGAAACCGTCGATTGCCTTGCTTATCACATAGGCGCCAGGCAGCAGGCGGAGAGTACATACGACCACAGGGTGTGGAAAACAGGGCTTCCCGTCCGCTCAGCCGTACTTAAGCCACACGCCGGGAGGTTAGTAGTTGGGTGGGTGACCACCAGCGAATCCCTTCTGTTGTATGTTTTTTTTGGTCTTTTCAAATCTTAGCTATATCAAGTTTGTTGTTCAGCATCGTTTCGTGCTCTCGTCCTCCCAGACACAGTCTGCCCCTCTTCTCAAGTGATGCCGCCACATGACCCGATGCAACCCAACACCCTTGTAAATGCATTAGAAATCGTACCTGGTTAGCTACACCAACCGAACCAACCATCAAGATCAAGGAACCGCCCACTGTGCGTACATCGGTCAAGCGAGGGCTCTGGCTTTTGACGAAGGTTTCGCTTATGTCGGGAAGCATTTTAGTCGATTGGTAGCTTTCGAATGATAGAGTGGACGAAGGATCCAATTGTCTTCCCAGATTGTAAATTTCTATTGCAACAATAGTAGAGCTTGACGGTAGATTATATCTCCCCCGGCTAGATGACACGGAGATTAGGGCTGTCGGCTTTGCAGGCGGAGGGGGGGGGGGGGCGGGGCTTCGGCCCCTGTGAGGACGAGGTGGTAGGTCTGGTGAGCCTGAGTGAATGGGGTTGTTTTGGTTTGCGTTGGCATGTTGAAGTGGTATTTGGTTGTAGTGCTTTGTGTCTTGATGCGTGTTTGAGCTTGTGAGGTTTGTTGCGGAGGATCTGGACGAAGCTATGGATCCGAATGAGAGGTTCCGGTGCGGGAAAGAACGAGTCGGGAAGTACCCCATCCCGATTCTTACACACAACTCACGCTGCGCAAGAAGACCAATAAAGCATGTAGTGACTCCTCAGCTGCCCCATTGCCTCCATCCATTCTAGCTATCTCGTGTGCAGATATCATGGCTTCCCCGATTAAAGTGGCGCGCCTCCCTGCCGCCGCCCACGACGGCCGCATGGCCAACGTCCGATTCCAGCAAGCGCAACTAGCCGCCTTGCACGACAGTCTCCGCCCTGATGGTGGACCAAACAGGTCAGCCAGCAGCTGCCCCAGGCGTCCGCGCGAGGCCCGGCCTGCCCTGCGCCGCTCTCTTCGATCGGACCGCTGATGTGGACTACGCCGCCCGACAGATCTGGGCTGCGTGTGCGGCCTACGGCGGTGGGTCACCGCATCGCCCGGGCATTGTCGCGGTCAACGTATGGGCGAAGCAGCCGTTCGTGGAAGCACTTCTGCGACATTCGAGCTCGGGCCGTGGTGGCTGTAAGAGGCCAGTTCCTGGGAAGAGCAAGCAGATCGACATGTGGATGGAAGAGGCAGAGCGGAGCCCGGAGCGAGATCAATACTATTTCCGGCGACGCTTGACAGTGCTTGGTATTAAGGCGGAGTACGGACCCTTTCCTTGACTGAGTAAGTCTATGGGAGCTCTGATCTAACAGTGCACGCAGAACATAAACCTCCTCGCGTCGATTTATGAAGGGGGGGTGTGGATCGCCTTACTTGCTGCTGTTCACCGTGACCGGTCTGGTCGATGCCGTACTTATGTTGAACGATACGTAAGTTGCACCCAACAACTTCACTCAGACCATGTCGGCTTTGAGCCATTCTGTTGCAAACCTCCGACTTTAATCGTCGGAAGAGAACTCATGGTGGCATATTTATTCTCCTCACCCGACGTGGCCAAATACTGGAGCCAGCAAATCAATAGCCATGCCACCTTAGCCAACCACATTCCCCCACCCATGCTACGTGACTCTCGCCCCTCTTCCTTGTCCATAGCTCCGGACCATCGATGGCTGATGCAATAGCAGTCGGACCCGCACTCGCCACGGACCAGAGAGTGATCCCTGTCGAGCGTCGCTATACAACGTGGATGTTCTCGCGCCCGCGGCCGGTGATGATCACCACGATCCAGGCAGGGAAGAGTGGGCTGAAGAAAGGGCACTGTGGAAGGAGAAGTGTAGATGTGTGTATATTTTTGTGTGTACGGCTACGTGGCCCTTTCTCCGAGAAGTAGTGGGATCCGAGGTTATATAACTCCAGATCTGTTATACCCTCTATAAACAAAAAGGCCGCCACTGAGTTATATACAAAAGAGAAAAACATAAGACTGCTCGTGTTTTCGAAATAGAAAATAAATAAAGTATAGATACAGAAATGTTAGATAAGATCTATTATACCAAGCTGTTTAATAAAGTAAGAATAAGTAAGATATTTGAGAGGCTTTATAAGACTGTCGGCTGCTTAATCTATCGTATTAATATAAATAAACTTGACGTTTTTAGTACGTACTTTACACCGTATAAAATACTATTTAATTGATACATATTTGGTTCTCGCGTGGAATTCAGAATTTTTAGTCAGAATAATAGCGGATTGGTTGTCAGCGCGAATTATAGTAGGTTTAGTTATTAATACAGATATAGCCTTAAAATACTAGATATCCAACTCGGTAAACAGAAGTTAAAACTAAAAAAGTTTTTAGATTATAACAGTCTAAGCAATATACTTATTCTTTATAGAAGACAGTATAATAGCGGTTTACTTCTTTAAACTCTAGAAAACAGGCCCGTCAGTAAGATAAAAGACGTAGTTGAAAGTTAATATAGTATTAAAAATATAAAAACCGGTTTAATCGGTATTATAGTAACTAATAAAACTAGAGTCTCCGCGTTTATAAAAAGAATAATAGTTTAACAAGCCTACAAGATAGTACCAGACGAGGTTTATAACTTAAATATAAAATTTATCAAAATTCGCCGCGAAGAACGATAACTTACTAATTATATATATAATATCAGAATATATATTAAATATAATTTATATTAGAGTACTGTTATACTTTTAATACAACTTAATATCGTCCGGCTGGATAGTTCCTGTATATTTAAATAAAGAATTTTTATAGTTAAAAGATATAAAAAAAACTTTGTATATTAATATACTAAAATACTTTAAACAGTCTTTAATATATAACTTTTATAAAAGATATATACTGTTATCAGTTTATATAATATTAATACTAAAAAAACGAATACAGAGACTATTATCGGTAAACTTAATAAAATTATTCAGCAGATTCTTAAAAATATTAATTACGGAAATATCTGGTGCTAAAAATAGAATATTATTAATATAAACAAGTATATAAAGATTTTTTCCGACGAATACAGAGTAGTTTATATAAAGATATTTAAAGCTGTTTATAGTAAGAAAGTTATAAAGTATATTATACTACTCATATAATATCTGCTTTAATCTGTATAATAATTTAACAAATATACTGTATATACCGTTCTTCTAGAAGTCTTCCGGCAGTTCAATATATATCAGTTTATATAGTTCGGCGTTAAGAAAGATTATAATAATATTAAGACTATATAACAACCAACTAAATATAATAATAAAAATAATAAAAATCTTAAAGTTAATACTTTTCGCAACAGCAGCGTAGATCTCGTCTATCTAATAATTTTTATTGGTATACTAGTAAAAGCCTTTAACAATAAAACAGGTTTTATATATACTGTTATACTTAATTTTTTATATTTATTTAAGAGGCAGAAGTCGGAATTTACAGAAATATAAAACAACGCGAAAAATACCTTATTTAATCTGTTATTATATTTTCTAGTAAATAGTATTATACTATTTAGAGGCTTTAACACAGGCTATAATATTAGTATAGCTGATAGAAGTATAACCAATATTTTATAAAATTAATTTCTTTACAGTAGAAGATTTTTTATAATCTAAAAATAGATCTGCAGTCGGCTGTATAGCTGCAGTATTAAAAAATAAAACATATACAAAATAATTATTAATTAGAAGATTAAATAAAATATTAATATAAAGATCCGGATTATTATTAATATTAATAATATAAAACTATAGCAACTCAAGCAAAATATAAAACAGTTTTTATATATAAATCAAATAATATAGCAGTTACTGAGTTGCAGTCTCCGTAAATAAAAATACTAAAAATAAATTACTAATAACTAAACAGTCTATAACTACTAATTTATTATTAAAGATATTATTCTTAATAGTAGAAGACGGTGTATTAAAAGTATTAAATAGTATATTATATATAATATTATTAGAAATATTTAATAAAAATAATATACTAGTTTATTTATATTTAATAAGCTAGTTAGAATCCGAGTTACCAACCTCTTATTTTAAAGCCGGAATACTAGAAAACTCCATTTATAGTAGCTTCTAGCTTTAAAAAATATAAAAAACAGAAATCAGCAGTATATATCTTTCTGAATAATTTCTTTATTAGAAGTACTGTTATATATAAAATTAAGATTATATATAAATACAATAGTAGATATCTATAAAATCGGTTTTTTATTAAAAATAATATTATATATATATACAATTTAACAGATCTTAATATCGTATATTTTATAAACTAATTCGGAGTAGTCTATAAAGCAGTTTTTCTATATATAATTCTTTAATTTATCGCAAGTTTTTTTAAAAATAAGATACTAATAGCAGCAGCCAAGAATTCTTTAGCAAGCAATATCAGATTATATACTATATAAAACTTTATATAATATCTTACTAATAAAGTTATATACAAGCTGATTCTAAATATAGTTTACAGTAAAAATAATATAGTTCCAAAAATAATAAGATAATTAATTATCAGCTATAACAAAAATACAGAACTCGACAAGATATCTGTTCTTAATCTCGGTAATTAAATTAAGATTAGAATAATAATATAGAGCCGGATTTTAAACAATATTCTATTTCTAATAATAAATTATAAGTAGTTAGTATTTTAATATATTATCGCCGTAAATATACTTAATATCAATATTTAATTAATATTTAAAATAGTTCTATATTATAATAAACTTATTATAAATCTCGCTACGGTTTTTAAAGAAAAAGACCTAGTAGTAATAAAAAATATAATCTATAAAAATAATAAAATAGTAGATACTAGTCTAGCTGTATATAGATAGCAGACTATAAATATTAATATATATAAAATCTTTAACTCGAAGTCTAAGATTATATAATTTAGTATATAATACTAGAAGTACCTGACTTTTTCCGCGTAAATATAATTCGCAAAATACTGATAAAATACTCTTTTTAATATTCAGACCAACAATATACTTTAAAAAATCACAGATTTTATACTCAAAGACATAAACTATACAATAATAAATTAAATAAATTAAGATTAACAGAATAACTAATTTTTTAATTATATAAACAATAAGATTGGTAAAAAATAAGCAAGTTAAAATACTATAGTAATATAAATTATAAATAGTCTTACAGCTCGTAGCACCAGTAGTATTTATAAAATATTATTTCTTATTTATAATAGTATAGCTAATTTATTTACTATTCTAAATAAGAAGTATAATTCTCTTTAATATTATATATAATTAAACGCCTAAGCGAGCCAGCTGTTTGTATAAGATAAGATTATTTAAAAAAGCCGAAGCAAACCAGTAATAGTTAATATTAAATATACCAATCAGATTACCGTCTTTATTTACAAATTCAATAGAAACAGTATTATAGCCGATAGTACAAAAAATTTTATTAATAACCGTCTTAATCCAGTAAACACAGGGTATAAAAGTTTAAAAATAGTATTTAAAATAGTTTATATTTTTTACAGTTCCGAAATCAAATATTTACTTATTTATATAATTTAAACAGGCGTTCTTCTAGGCTACAGCTGCCACATTAAAATAAACTAATACAGTATAAATACTAAGCAAGTTATAATTAATATTAATAATATTAATAGTAGATAATTCAGACGGTAATACTACCTTCGCTGATATAAATACTGTATTAATATATATACTTATATTCTTCTTTTTATCTAGATTTAATAAATACTTACTTAAAAAATAATTTCTGTTATATTAATAAAAAGTATAGAATATCAAGTTTCTGTCCGCGACGTCGAATTTTTTATATTCGAACTAAATATTAGAATTTAATTATTCTCTACTGTAACTATAACTATTACTATATCTACAACTACAGCCTCTATCTTAGTTATAACCGCCGCGATTACTATTACTATAATTAAAAATATTATTAGTAAAAGTCTTATTACTAATAGTATATATAAATAGCTATAAGAATTAATTCTTCCGAGTATATTCAAACTGCGTGAATTAAATATAAACTAATAAAAATACAGCGGCTTTCTTAAGTATTATATATTAATTTATAATAAACAGTTAAAGTACTATAATATCTTAAATTACTATAAAAAACTATAAAAATTTAGTCTAATTATCTACAGTCTTAATACCGCGTAACTTATTAAAGACATCTATAAACTTTATTAAAAATATATCTTAACTAAAGATATTATTATAGTATATAAACATCTACTTATTATATAAACAAACAATAATTACAAAGCTGAAAATCTTATAAACTTTTTAGAAAAGTCTATATACTTTAGCTGCTATA